CCAGGACTTACTTACAAATGTTTGGCCTGTGCATGGAGGTCAGAAAGTCTGTACTGCAGTCCTGTGGTAAAGCATCGCCTTTCCTACTACGCCCTCCAGACTCCAACCAAAGGTGCACAAGTGTCTCTAGTGCCTCACAGCCTGACTGCCAGCGTCCTCCAGCCCCAAGTTTCTAGGACAAATTCTTTGTTTTCTTTAGACACATTTCCTATGAGAAGGGTAAGAGGCAGGAAGAGCCACACATAATTTCCTCTTTTATGTTGCAAAGAAGGACCTTACTCTCGTGATTATTACATAACTGAAAAGCCAAGATATTTACTGGTGTATCTCAATAAGCCTTTATATAGTTGCAAACCAATAAAAAAACCCATCCAATTTTGTCCTAAAAGCACTAACTCTCCCTCAGGTTTTGCTTTTGGTTTATTTTAAAGAGAATTTTTGAAAGACGGTAAAGACAATACAGAATTTCAAAACAAAATGATAGAAAATTAATAATGGTTGTTATATTATATATCATTATCTTCAAAGTATTTGTTGGTATTATCAGATATAGGCATACAAAATTGATCAATTAGGCAGTAACTGTTCCTTTCAATAAAACAGCAGAAATCAATAGTACATTTGTCTTAGCTATCTTGTGTATATACATTTTTCCCTTCCTTCTTTCCATCTTCCTTTTCTCCTTCCCTCATTCCAGTTATTCTTTTCCTTTTGAGAAGTTTCCTCCTCTTTCACAATATCTATTGTACCATTCAGATTTTATCTACTCTTTCAGTTTCTTACACCAGGGAGATAATATGATATTTTCACATGTGGGTCTGATTTATTTCACATATGAGGATGGTCTCTAGTTGCATCTATTTAACCATAAAAACTTCAAGTTAATCTTTCTTTATAGCTGAGAAATACTTTATTGTATAAAGATATCACATCTTCTTTATCCAGTCCTCAGGTGATGGGCATTTGGGCTGTTTCAAAGATGTAGCTATGACAAATTGAGGTGCTATAAACATAGGTGCACATGCATCGCTGTGGTACAATATTTTCAATTATTCTAAAATAGCACAGCCTAGATACTGTCAAATTGATTGGCTCTGATTTTTAGGTGCCTGTAGAGCAATGAGGAATGTTCTAGTCCTTCTAGATCAAGTAGAAGTAATAGATCACTTGATTCTCTGTGAACATTGATAGACAAGGCCACGCTCAGAAAGAGCACCTTTTGAAAGAATATTCCCCCACTCTGGTCATTTCAGAACTATGTACAAAGACTAAAAATAATGCCAAAATTATTACTTTCAGACAACAAGGGGCTAATAGCACATGGGTGAGGCAGACCAGTTATTAATGACAATCCGGGGTGACACAGTGCAGCAAATGGGAAACAATGTGTCTTCTCACTTAATGTCTCAGATATATTGATGGAAAGTGATACTGAAATATATGCTCTAAATCCATCATGGTCAAAGTAGGAAGACAGTGGAACTGTGTACAGCTAAACCAAGATGGGCACCAAGACATGGAAACAAAGCTTTTGTAAATAAGGAGGGAAGAAGGCCTGGAGGGAGGGATGGCAATGGAGGAAAAAAAAAAAGGCTCAAGATATACTAGGTGCAGGTACAAATTCCCTACAGTGGATGTGATCATTATGTATATAAAACTGTATCAATAAAATCAATTAAAAAATAAATAAAATGCAACTGGGAAATAGTAGGTCGCGTGACAAGATCCAATGGTCCAGGGTGGTTGTTGCCATGGGGCAGTATCTCAAGGATGAAGTGGGTGCACTGGGAACTGGGGGGCAAAGACAGCAAAACATTTTCAGATATAAACTACCAGAGATGACAACTGCCAGGCTCTTCCAGTGCTCTACCTTGAACCTATGTCTTACTTGTCTGTGAATTGTGATAAACATTAGACTTGCTGTCCAGGTTGGGCAGGAGGACATAAAGAAGGCAGAGAGAAGTGTGGGTCTGTACTCAAGCACCAAAGTAATACTAATGATTTTTGGCTCTTTATAAGATATTTTGGAGCATGAATTCAAAACAGGAAAAATAAATGCACTTATACTGGAACTACCTAGCTGGTACCAGAGAGACCCTCTGGGCTGGTTGAGCACTGCAGCAAGGTAGAGTCACATAGGGGCTCGCGGCAGGAACCTTGGGTCCACCAGGAATGACCTGTTTGACAAGGTGAATTGCACAATCTCCTGGAATCACAGTTTCCTCACAAGGAAAAGGGAGTTGACTCTAGCTGCTTTTCAGAATAGTGTCACTTTATAAAGAAAACCTGAGCATATCTTCTTTCTTGTCAAAATGAGGCAAAGCAACTTTTCTTAGTAGAAAAAGTCAGCTTCATGACCTGCTGTAGTAGAAAGATGAAAAGAGTATTTCTTTCAACAAAAACTGTCACATGCTACCTCTGCACTAGTAAGATAAAATGATAAGGATGGTTGTCATTGAGGCACAAAGCTAGGTGCTCATGGGAAGGGAGTGGACAGAAAATGTATTCTCACTGTATAGTTTTTTTTTTTTAATATGTACCATGTGTACATGTAACCTAGACCACAAAGGTAAAATTCAGCTTTCTAAAATAACATTCAAAATCCGTCCCCACTTTTTGTATCAACCTTTATCATAGGGAACAGTGATTTAATGCTTCACTCTGCTCCTTGGGTGTCTGTCAATGTGGGAAAGGTCCCATATGAACATTGGAAGATGATGGGCTCTGATCTGAAAGAAAAAATCCAAATTCATCAATTATTATAATTTTTCTTAATTAAAATGTGAAATACATTACCATGAAATCCTGACATAGTAACCCCTCTTATCTGAATGGGACACATTCCAAAACATCCAGTGAGTGAATACTACTTATATTCCAGATAGTATGTTTGTTCCTATACATATAAATCACTGATTAAATTTAATTTTTTTTTTTAATTTTAGGGAAGGGTCTCACTACTAGATCAGACTCATAGTGATCCACCTGTTTACAGCCTCCCAAGAGCTGGGATTACAGGTGCATGCCACCACACCCAGTCTGATGAAGTTTAATTTCTAAGTCAGGTACAGTAAGAGATTAATAATAATAACTAATAAAGTAAAATGATTATTACCATATTTAGAATAAAAGCTTTGTGAATGTGTTCTCCCTATCATTGCACTGCATACACCCTTGTTCTTGTGATAATGTACAAAATGCCTACCTGCTGCGACAAAGGGAGATGACTAACAAAGGCTACTCTAGGCTACAGTGCAAGGATGACATGAACATAAGCAATGTGATGCAAGACAGCTCGTCTGACAGCTGAGATGGCGACTAAGTGACTGCTGGGGAGGTAGCATATACAGCATGGATACATTTGACAAAAGTCTGATTGACCTCCTGGACTGGATGAAGCCATACAGTATGCTATTTTGTCCTGTTGCTCAGGACAGTATGTTACTTACCACTTATGAATTGTTTAGTTTTGAAATTTTCCATTGAATATTTTAAGATGGTGGTTGACCACAAGTGAGTGAAACTGCAGAAAGCAAAACCACAGATAAAGGGGGACTACAGCATTTTATAATGTGCTTATCATACCTTAAAGAAAAAATATTTAACTTACTAAATTTTTTTCATCCTCTTTCCCTAATTAAATTTGTTTAATCAGCTGTCTCATTTTCTCCACAATGGAAGGTCTCTCGTTTGCCTTCTCTCATCACCAAACACTAACTTCAGAAAGACAGAGTCACTATCAGAGCACAGAGGATGAAAATGTAAACTTTTTACTTTCTTCGTCTGGAAAAGCAAAATGAGACTTACTATGTGTGTTACCAATCATATTGTCTTTTGGACTTAAGTTCTCTGAAGGGAAAGCATTTCAATCATCTTCATCGTTAATTGTTATCAAGACTACCTATACTTAAAAATAAACGTCATTCGATAAGAACCATTTCCATTTCTGGAAATGACTCAGGAGCAACACGTTGTGGCATTTGATTTTGCAGCAGAGCGGGGCTCTCACTCTTATTTCATTGACCCCTCACCCTGTTGGTGTATCTCTGGGCTCCCCATCACCTCACGTCCCTGACATCACATCACCTAGTGCAGGGCTGTAGACCAAGGGTGACTTTAGTGCACTTCAAAGCAGCTGCCCCAGAGAAGCCCCCAACTACAGTGTCTCCACCCTGAAGAACAGACTCCTTCACACACACACTCCTCCTGTGCCTACTGGAACTCTCCCTTGAAAGAAACGACATTCTTCAGCTTTTCCTTGTTTTTCCTTTTTGTATATTTACCTCTAATGTCTTAATGAGTCTCCTAATGCACCGGAAACCTGAGATTTCTTCAGAAAAATAACGAGATCGAATACATTTTGTACTCTTTTGCTCTTTAATGTAATTTTTCTGTGTTCATACTGCCTAAGCTTCCACACTGGAAGTCTGCATAAGGCATAGAGCTTTATGGAGGAAATCTCTTAATTCTAACAATAAGGGCTGCACTGAGTTAATCATTTTAATGATTCATGTTTAAATGAAACCATTATTTTCCAGATCCTGCCAAAAATTTACCACAACTCATTCAGAAGATTTTATTACAAATTAAGATTCCTATAATTTTGAAAAAGAGACACACACTTCTAAGGTTTCTCAGGAAGGGAAAACCTTGGCTTCAGAGTGCTGAACTACACTTAAAAAAATAAAGAGGGGGAAAAAAAAAACCTTGCGCTAAGTCTGCGAGTAGGAGATGCCCCCCCCCTCAGTGTTCTGTGGTGGTTCAAAAGGGGAGCCCCACAAACCACAATGTGTCTGAGGAAGACAGCCAAATCCTACTGGGACTCACTCAAAAGGAGATACAAAAAGGGAGGAGGGTAACACAGATTAAAGCAACTTAATTTTTGTGTGTTGTCACTGCTGATCTATAGACAGATCAATCACCTCCACACCCTGGTACCTATGAGATACAGGAAATAAGACGAAAGATCACACAAAGATCATACGCACTCTTATCTTTTCTTTTAATTTTTATTTTTATGCCAGGAAGAGAGGTATTATCTGTTCTCCTTGTCTAGAAACAGGAAATTCTGGAGCTTTCCTAGGTGCAAAAGGAATGGGAATAAAAGGATGAAAACAAACAGTAGGCAAGCTCTCTCTGACAACGCAAAGCACAACTGTTACAGATGCTCTGCCTAACTAGGACACCAAAGTTGGAGATCTGTCCTCTCTGCCTTTCTCCAATCTTCAAGCCTTTCCCCCACATTCAGTCTTTGTTGGCAGCAAGTTTAACTTTATGTTACACCCTGACGCCTAATGCCCAGGTAAGTGATGGTTCAGAACTATTTGAAACAGAAATGGTCATTACAGTATTTCACTACATTTCCAGTGTGTCCCACATACACAAGCCTGTGAGGATTCTGCCCACAAAACCTAGCTGTAAATGTGAAGCCATCAACAAAGCACAGCGAAGACATCTACACACACACACACACACACAGCACATTTCCTCAGATTCTCCAAACTCCACACTACCTTCAAGTGCTGAAAGACTAGAAATGACTCAAGACTGGAACACCAATGGTTTTCAATACCTTAGTCACCTAATCCTTAACAAGTCACCTCTCTAAAGATCCTATATTATTTAAAATACCAAAGAATGTTCAGGTTCCTTCCAGCTCTCAGCTTAAAGATTTCCATATTCATATTGAGAAGTCTGAATAAAATATAAACGTCTAAATTGTCTGTGCTATCAATTATTACCAGAGGTGACAGCCACAGAGGGACAAAAATATTACTGTGGTCATCTTTATTCCTTGTGAAATAAGTGGTTATGTAACATCTCCAAAAATTTAGTGTTAGATTTTCTCAGTAATCCACATGTCGAAAGTAGTTATGGGCGGGGTGTACATATAGGGGCAAGGAAGGGAATTTCATGCCTTCACAGGGAAAAATATCAAAGTATGTTATCCTTTGCTTGGAATGGTGCTTTTCCTGAAGTTTGGGTTTTACATTATAGAATGTTCTTTACTTATGTTCAAACTCCATAATGCATCGTGAAACTTGGACTTTTCACTCCTAATCCATAGCAGGTAGCCAGTCAAATGTCTAAGAAACTATTTAAACATTATATCCACACTTTCAGTTTGTTAGTAAGAAAGATCTGTTCTTTTCTTCCCGGATCTCAAAGTGAAGAAGCAGAAATACTGTCTCCGGGCTGCAGTACAAAGCTTTCAAGATTGCTGGCCCAGTCACACCCGCTGTCCCCTTTGGATCTACTATCACACATCATTGATTTTTGATAACTCTTGAGTGTGTCTCAAACCCAAAGCCAAGTTGACGCACATATAGAAACTTCTTAATCAAAAAGCTACACTTAAGGGCTAGTGAGATAGCTCAGCGGCCTAATGTGCCTGCTTAGGGCAGGGCTGAGCCAGTAAAAAAAAAAAAAAAGAAAAGAAAGAAAGAGAGCTACACTTAGTTTTAAAGAAGCAAAAATTGCTTTGTACCAAAAGATGGAAAGGTTCCTGAAGTACATTGTTGATGACTCATAAAACATGCAGATGCAGCTGAACAATTAAGCATCATGGTAGAAGCAGAAATTTTCTATCTGCGTGGAAGAACATTCCTACAAGTAAGCTCAGCCTAAAGATCCCAGAGAAAGATTTCAAATTCCACAAACACAAATCATGATATGTCTGGATCCGAAAGTCAACACCCAGGGCCAGCCAGGTAGCTCAAGGGATTAAAGCACCTGCTTAAGCAGAGTGCAGGGGCCAGGGTTGGGTTGCTGGAACCACAAGCTGTGCCAGCCCTGCCCCTGCTGAGAGGGCAATTGAAACTTGGGGTGGTGGTGCGAGCCTGTAGTCCCAGCGCTTGGGAGGCTCAAAACAGAAGGATCACTATGAGTCCAATCTACAGAGTGAGACCCTTTTAGATCCTGTACTAAATGTCTATTAATAAATAAATAAATCAAAAGTCAGCACCCATTTGCCCCTCAAAGTACAAATGAAAGAAACTCTTCTCTCAATGAAAAATATTATTAGAGTAAACCCCAAAAGAATTCAAAGGTGGACTTAGGAAATTCCCTATTTTCACTATAAAAACTAGACTTTGAACATAAGAAATATCGATTGTAATTTTTGATATTACAGCTAGTAAATCGACTTTTTAAACTTTTATTTATTCTTTGAATGAATGAATGAAAACTAGATTAAAGAAGAAAGAAGATCTAATCCCAGATTTCATCGGCTTTAACAATGCACTACTGTCTTCCCACAACCTACGGTATCTGGATCACAAGAAGGTACAGTTTGTGAAACATTTCATCATCATCAACAACAAAAAGAAATGGGCTAAGCAATAATTATACTTAGTTTTCACATTTTAAATGAGCTGTCTATGACCAAACGTGATGTTCTAAATCAGGCAAAAAAAAAAAGAAAGACACATAGTATGGTTGGTCAAGAAGATGTAGATCTCTATACAAGGATGAACAGAAAGGAAGGAGAGCAGGGGCAACAGGAGAGGCACAAGTGAGATGAGAACAATCAACTAAAAGTCTATAAAAGCAGAGGTGAGAGAAAGTATCTGTGTCCCTACCTATCTGGAAAGACTTCTCCGAGCTGGTAGGGTTTATTGGTTGTTGCTTTGCATTGCTTGGAAACTACATATTACTTGGTGGGTTGAAAACTCAGAAAAGGCTCAAAAATAATTAGGATGATTAATCAGGAAGGCTTACACCTTGGGTGCTCTTGATGAAGTCCACTTACTCTCAGAATCCTAGATCTGTCACAAAATCTCTGGAGAACAAGCTCCTAAGAGAAGACAAAAAAAATTGGATGAGGAGCCGAGACAGTGATGCTTATTTTTTCAAAAGTCCAAATTTATGCACCCTAGCAAAGACACCAACAAGAGAGAGTAGCAAATCCCCAAAACACTGGAAAGGAAGGCATTGTGAGTCAGACAGCACTGCTTCCACGAGGCATCTTGCCACAGAACAGCTTAGAAGTTGGTACCCACGAACAGAAGCCAATTTCTCTCCAGTGTTTCAGTGTGCTGCAGCTGACCACAAAGTTGCTAAGTTAAAGTTTCTGTGGGATATAATTATGAAATACTGTACATCCTCAAGTCAATCCTTCTCAACTGTTCCTCAAAAGCTTAAAAATAGCACTGAGCTCTCACAGTGATTCAACTGGCTTATAATAACTCACAAACAACTTCCTAAATGGAAGTAGGAAAAATATAGAGGTGGAATGTGAATTAACCACTGGGTATTTGGGAACATGGAGAGAGATGAGTAGATTGGAACTGACAGATCAGAAGAAGTCTGAAGTTAATCATGGGGTTATATCACCTAGATCCCGCGTCGCTTGTTGGATTTAGAGAGCATGTAAAAGTTCACGAGACCAAGAAGACTGGCCACTGGGCAATGAACATGGTAGATTAAGGTGATGGTCAAGGGAGAAAATTCCACTTGACCCTTTGAAGCCACTCGTACATGGTGTTGACTGCCGTTTGACTTTCTGTATCTACATGATAACAGTTGAACTGCCCAAGGAAAGATCATGCCCGAAGATGAGCACCAGATAGGTTTGTGGGGAATGTGGTAGGAACAGGAAGCATGTGGATTTGTTGCCCAAGTCCCCCATAAACACTACAGGAAGCGTGTGGATTTTTCTCTACTTTAAGTCGAGACATTTTTCTCTACCTTAAATCGCATTTTGTAAGCTTGTAAGTTAATTCATTAATTCATTGAAATGTATTTTTCCCTCATCACACATCAGGCAGTGTGCCAGGCCCTGAGGACACAAAAGTGAATAAATAACATAATTAATCATAATAATAGCTTCCATTATTGGGTTCCTTGTATGTGCCAGGAACTCTACTTCCATTACACAATGGAATGCACACAATAAACTTCTAAAAGAGACGTTATGTTCCCTTCTGCAGATGAAAAACGAAGATGAAGAAATGACAGGGCTAAGAGGCCTGTAAGTGTGGCACATTGCTCCAAGAACACAGTGATCAGTGAGATAAGGGAAGTACGCTGCGCAATAGCCTATGGAATTGCTAAAACAGACGACTGAAGAAAAGGCAGCATGCTAACTCAGCTCGGGGAAGGAGGGAGAAGAAGAGTGAGTGGAAAGAATGTGGATGTGGGTGTGGGTGTGGCTATGTCAGTGTGTCTGTGGCCGTGTGCCTCTGTCTCCGGGTGTGTGGAGGTTGGTCTGGGTATGTGCTTTTGTATGTCTCTGTGTGGGTGGGTATGTCTGCATGTCAACATGTGTGTGTGTGTGTGTGTGTGTGTTTGTGTGTGTGTCCATGTGTCCTGGGCAGAGAGAGATGGACACAGGCCACGGCAGAAAAGCCATCCTCGAAGAAGAGGGCAATATAATGCGTCTTTCGCCCGTACCACAAAACTTCCCTCTGCATTTCGGCAAGACGAAGAAAGTCACAAGGAAAAAGCAACAGGGCTTGTGTGCTGTTTCAGAAATGACACAAGAGGCTGTGACACAACATGTTTGATCTGCCTGAAGAAGAGGGACATTCATCATGACAGATTAATTGCTCTTCTGGAGTGGGATGTTGCCCCATGGAGCTTTGCATCCAACGTGGCTAGAGAGCAATGACGAGCTTCGAAGCAGAGAAACCGATGCCTAGAGCTCCAGAGAAGCGCTGCAGAGTGGCCACTGTCAGTGCAAATCCTTGTGCCAGTGAGTCTCCCACGACTCAAAGCATTTTAGGTACATTTCTTTAAAACTTGTCCTCAGAACCCACTATGTATTTTTTAAAATTCCCTTAATGATGACAAATCACCCACTAAATGCTAATACTTGTGTTTTTAAGTTAAAATTTATTTTGGACGTAGCCTATGATAAGATAATCAATTAGGTAAAAATAACTGAAAATAAAATGAATGCCAGGCAGTAAGCTACGTTATTTTTATAAATCATCTCGTCTGATATAATTCTCAGCCCAAATTGGTTAGGTCATGTTGTTTTGCTTTTCTTTTTGCAGTATTAGGGATTGAACCCAGAGATTGAGACAAGTGTGCTCCTGTGAGCTACATCCTCAGTCGTTTGGATCTTTTATTTTGATGCAAGGTCTTAGTAAGTTCTCATTAAGTCATATAAAGTCACTCTTAACATTCCCATTTAGTAATATTTCTTTAATCACTAGAGAATTAGCACACGTCACTGGAGGGGTTTTGGAAAAATCTAAGACAGTAGAGAGACGATAAAGTTCCTTTAGAGTCTTACCACACAGATCTAATTATTGTTGACAATGCCAAGCTTCCCTCTCTAGTCTTGCTTCTGAAAGTACCTGAGAATGGTTTTCCCACCAAATGGATCACAGTGGGTGTAAATTTATAACTTTTCCCTTAAAATGCTGGATCATTTTTTTGCGTCACTAAACTTCTTCTGCAAAATCTTCTCTCACTATTTGGCATCTCTGTGAACAGTGATAGCATGATCTACTCAAAATAGTTTCAGTATTTCAGTACTGAGGGCACATGTTTTGTAGATACATCTTGTTGGATTTCTATGATCATTTCCTGAGATTATTTCCTAGAAGTAGAATTGCGCCTGGATAATTCTAGTCGCTGTTTTAACTTTGGCATTTTTTGATGAGGAAATGAAAACCCAAAGTACTTTCCAAAGTTATGAACCCAAAATGCAGCAGAGACTGGAAAAGACCCAAGACTAATTTTCTAAAGCTTATGATTTTTCCCACTAATATAAATTAATTTTGAAGGAAAAAATGAAAAACATCAATAAAAAAGAATTTGCATGTGTGTAACCAAAACTACTCCTGGAAGAATTTTTTTAAAGAGTTAAAGCAATGTATCAGATTTGCAGTTTCCCTAAACAATCAAGTTCATTCCTGAGTTTCTGTCCTGCTAGATTCCTTTATAAAGGGCTCACTTTATCTCTTTGTTACTTTCTTAGATGTCAGTTCAATCCCTTATGAATTTATATTATTCATATTCTGGCTTAAATATTGGAATTTTGGATGAACTGAAAAACAACACAATCTCTTTGATTGTGGCACTTGGGGACAATCTTGGTTACAATTCCGGCAAGCCATAAGCAGGTGGGGGAGTCCACACCAGCATGCTTGGAATACCAAATGACTAATATATAACCAGTCTTCTTTAAGTCTGACTCCATTCTGATAACTAGGGAGAAAAGAAAAACATTTACCACCCAAAGTCCTACTGGTTGCGGTACCCAGAAAGCCTGTTTGCCTGGAAGGAGGATGGAAAGGAGTAAGACAAGCACAACCAGCTCTCTTCTTGAACAGTTGCCATCAGAATACAGTTCAAAATGGATCAGAAAAATACCAGACTGATAGAGAAGCACCCTAGAAGGGGTAAGTGGGTGTTGGGTGAAATTGTATTTTTTAAAGAGGAACCTACAAGTGTCTTCAAATTGTCCCTAATTATTTGGCCCCAGGCATTCTTGGGAGACGTACCAGAGAGGATTTGAAAGACAAGGCAGTGGAAGAAGTTAACCTGGGCTTTCAAAGCCTTGGCAAAGATGTTCTCAACCAGCTTTCCCTGGTGTTCTGTTGGTGGATCAGCAAATGCCACCCCCTGGCAGTGGCCCCAGATCAGTAGCTCCAACCTGCGTGTCTCACTAGCATCTGAAATGCAATTGAACCCAGAAATCTGGGTCCCTATCACCTCCTCTCAGGCCTCGCATGGCACTAAGAGAATCTGCATGGACAAACATCTGAGTTCTGCTTTGCTTTCTGTGTCCCCTGCTGTCACCCCTGTGTCAGCCTCTAGCATCCTCATTTCCAATCCTGCCCTTTCACAAAGCTTTAGCCACATAATATCACAGGCCAGTGGCCTATGAAAATGCTCCAGGGCCTTTTTGGTCTCAGAAGTTCAGTGTCTATGCCTTCTCTCAGCCCACAACCTCTCTATGGAGTAGCCCTGCCAGCTCCCACTCCTCAAGACTAGCTATCTCTCTGGGAAGACACTTGCCCTGGACCTTACCCTTGCCACCCCACTACCTAGCATAGCACCCACTCCCACTCTTTCCCTGTGCTGCTCACTGTTGCATTCAGACCTGAGCCCCAGTGTTACTTCCTTAGAAGGCTTCCCTGACGGCCAACCAAATAGCTCAGTGGATTTAAAGTGCCTCCAAGCAGGTGCAGGGGCCTGGGGTTCAATCTCCCTGCCTGCTGTGCCGGCCCCACCCCCAGGGTGCACTGAGATGGCAATTGAGACTGGGCATGGTGGCGTGTGCCTGTAATCCCAGCACTTGGGAGGCTGTAAACAGGAGGGTCACTACTAGTCAGATATAGTAGTGAACCCCTGAACACCTCGTAGGCCCTTCCCTAAAATACAAAAAAAAAAAAAAAAAAAAAAAAGAAAAAGAAAAGAAAAAAAGGCTTCCCTGAACCCTCCCTATAAATTGCCCCATATTTTATTGTCTTCATATCAGTCGTCTCTAGAGGACATTATCTTCTGTTTCTCTATGTACTTGTTTACTATTCTTCTTCCTCACTAAAAAATAAGCTCTTAAAAAAGGACATGTCTAACCAGTAATCCAATACCAGCACATAAAACAGTAACCAGCTCAGAGTAGCCATTTAGTTAAAAAAAAAAAAAGTGTCTAATAAAGGGATCAACAAATGACTGAGAGATGAGTGCATTTATTACTGTTTGCTTTACTATTACTATTCTAAATTCATTTTTTAAAAAAACAGGTATTTTATTCTTTTTAGGCTTGAGCAATGGCACTGTATTGCATTAGGCTGAGCCACTGAACAACCTACTCCAAGTTCTAAATTAGACCCTTTTAAATAGTTGGATCAATTCTTTGGTATTAGGCACTAATTTGTCAGCAGTCTGAAAGAAGCAACAAACTTGCCAAAGTCCCTTTCTTACAACTATCAGGTTGCTAATGATAGAATTTAGCACCCCGTGTTTTACACAGTTAATTCCTGTTGTCTTCTTGGATTTTAAACCTAATGCTCTTTCCCTAAAAAGTTTCAATTTGAAGAGTGATTTCTTAAAGGCGTCTGACCATAATCTTGTATCAAAATGCATAAATAATTGATAAAATTCCAATTATTTATCTTGTCTCCTAGTAGGAAAAAGATGGGAGAGACTACTGATTCTCCTTTTTTGACCTTGCTGCTTTTGCTGTCTTCAGCCACCATGAACTGCTGCCCTCTACCATGTGCCACCCTGCCTTGGAGCTAAATGATTATGGACTGAAACCTTCACAAACTATGAGCTAAATTAAGCTTTCCTTCCTTAAAAAGGTGGGGGGGGGTGCTGTACCCCATGTACATATTCATGGTGTATACACAAAGATATATCCGTACATCTGTGTAAGAACATATTAACATTAATAGGTCTGTTGTGTGCGAGAGTAGCAAAATGGGTTCAACAGTTGAAACCCCTCATCTTGGAAATCTTTATGAATATGGATATTGTCCCCACATCACTTCTTGCCTAAGATGTTAAAAATAGCCTGGTGAAGACTGTGAAGCAAAATAAAGGTCACAGCTCCCGTGAGGCAAACTCTAGCAGCACCACAGGCTGGGATGCTGGTGTCAGGTGGAAAGGGACACATTCTTGTGGCTGGCACCGTGCTTCTAGGTCATCAGCTCTGAATGAGAAAGGATTTTCCATATGTGCTTTCACAGAGCATGTTAGGGTTTGGTTACACATTTTATCCAAACTGTGAAAAGTCAATGGTAGCAATTCAATATGCTAGACATGATCTCAATGATACGCTTGCTTTGTTCACAGAGCATTATGGGAAAAACACTCCTTAAACCATCCCTTTGAAGCCACGTCAGAATTTCTTTCAGAGTTATTTCCACATACCTTCCCCATCTCAAGGCAGCCTTTCACCTTCCTCTCCTCTTTTCGGTAAAGCTGTGTCCCTGGAGACAAGAGGAAAATGAGCATTATCAAGAGTCAAGGAAGAGAGAGGGTTTGTGCAGGAATAGCTGGGGTGGCTCAGATGTTCTCTGAGTAAGTCACAGAAGGAGGATGTTCAGTTCTTCAAATCCCTAATAAAAATGTGAGCAGCCAGAGGGCTCATCTTCCTTAGATTTACCTCCTTTCTCCCAGGTCATTTTGTGCTCTTAGAACCTGATTTCCCTGCTGCCTCTGGAGCAGATGTTGCTTTACTGTTTGCTAACATTACGCTAACATTGCATTCACAAAACAGCCTGCAGAGCCTGACTTCTGTCAACACAGACTGATTATAACACGAGCTGGAGACTTTTCCCAGCCCTAGTCAGTGTGTCCCTTTAGGCAAATTGCTTAATGTCCTTATGTACAAACTGGGATCCATAAGAATATATATCTGCCATCTTCAGAGAAAAGGTCACATGCCGTAGTTCTCAAACGCTTTCCTCACAGGCACCTGTCATTTTACTCTTCAGTGAGGAGATGGTCTCATTATGCAAAAATGACTCTTCCTATTTAGTGAGTAGAGCGGATAAAAGACTTCCTAGGACATTATTTTTTTTTCAAGAATGCACCCCCACTGAGCTACATCATCAGCCTTTTTTTATTTATTAATACACAGTCTCACTGAGTTGTGCAGCCTGGCCTCAGGCATACCGTGCTATCCTGCCTCAGCCTCCAGAGTAGCTGGGATGACAGCTATGCACCACTATGTGCAGCTAGGCCCCTCCATTCTAAATGTGTCTCTCTAGTTCAACTATAAATATATGACTCCTTGAAATCACATATACTTTCTTTTTTCTTCTTCTTCTTTTTTAGTTAAGGCACTCCATTTATTTATTCCCTATTATTCTGGGGTTTTTTTAGTTTTATAACAGAGTATCTTTATTTTTTTATCAATTTTATTAAGAAAAAATTGCAATGAGATAGTTTCAAAACAGGTTGGTAGGAGAGTTACATCAATTAATACATTGCATATTGTTGTCTTGGTAGTAGCCATTCATAGCTCAAGATGCTGACATGATATCCTGTCCAAACACTATTAGTACAAATTTTTCTTCTTATTAAATTAAGAGAAAGTGGCTATATAGCTAGCCTAACAATTTTGTATATCCAGATATAGAAATGTCCTTCATTTATATCTCCTTTTTATGTTTAGTTTTTGTCAGAGATGGGTATTCCATTGCCATCCAAATATGGTAGGTGCATGAATTCAGCAAAATATTCCAGTATAGTCCAGTAGTCCACAATAGTAGTGGGTTATCCACAGGACTGGCAATGTCTGAATCTGAGGCTTTGAGCCTTTCACAGCTCAGCATATTAACATGACTTCACTTTTCATACCACATTTCTACCCTTTTCTGCTGGCTGGATAAGATCAAGACACATATACTTTCTCAAACTTTTAATATGTATCTACCCAAGAACAGATTAGCAAGATGTAATTTTGAAATTAGACTAC